CTATTGAGCAATATAATAATTGGATTTCGTTTCCTACAGGGAAGGGAGGAGGGTACTGTCCTGACACAGGAAAAAAAAAGTCAGATGGCAGTCGAGACTGAGAGATCTACAGACATGAGGGAGGATCTTGGCAGTCTAAGAGGATGTGAATTGGGTCAGTTCCATTCCAGTAATTTAAGAGGAAAGCCTATCTACCTCAGCTTGTAGTGAAGCATAAGATTAGATGAGAGACCATTTATTTTGTTGTCAAAATGGGAGCTGAGTTCATTGAAAATTTTGGACATTATTGTTTATTATAATTCAGATTCTCATTATTGCATTCTCATAGAATCAACCAATATTTTTCCCAGAAGTACTTTTTAAAACTTTTTGGTTTTAGCAATAGTTAAATATTTAACAGTTTTGGAGACTAAAATCCTTTTTCTGCAAATATTAGTGGTGCAAGCTTTCCCCTTACTATTCTTCTAATGTGCTTCAGCCTGGATATGGAAGATCCCCATGGGAAGAGAAGCCAGTTCAGTTTCCTTGGTTTATTCCATTGTTGGCGCCTCCACTGAGACTACCAGAAGGGTGCCAGTTGTGATGGAGTGTTTGTTTTTTAATGTGAATACGAAGCAGTGTAGAGTTAGAACAGCGTGGAGGCAGGGCTAGAGGGTCAGGCTGGCAGGAGGACAGTGCAGTTTAGGACTACGCCACTGCCTTTCTATGAACATATTTCACATAGCTTGTCAAAGAACCATCAGGCTCCTTTCACTTTCAGTCACTGCTATTCTTTTTTGGATATGAATTTAGAGACCTAGAAGCATTTGTATCATTTTACCAGTGCCCTGAGCCTTCCAGTCCCCAATGAGTATAAGCAATTAGGAAAATCAGAAATACGTACTACAGATATTTTAAGCTTTCACTAGGCAGTTTTATACACACATTCATTGCATGGTCTCAATGTGACAATATATAACATGAGAAAACAATTTTCTTATTGCAAAAGCCTACTTTTACTTACTGTGTAGACATTTCATTTCTTGCAGGAAAATTGGTAGTTCATTTTTAATGCTCTCAATTTTGAACAAGAAAAGTTGGGAAGAAATACTTCTATATTCCAGAATATTCCCCCATCTCCTCCACTGTTGCACTTCAAAGTATATTTGAACAAAAATGCTTTACATTTCATTTATTCAAAAGCAGAATCCTTTTGAATTTTACAAACAGCCATTTTGCTGCTTATTAAATCTAAGAAACTTCATCTTAATAACAGCTTATATTTCTTTTATTTTAAAAAAGGCAGGAGACTTCCAAACTCTGCATTTGCTTTGTCATAAAAATACTGTAATAATTGTACTTGTGAACTGTTTAGTATAGGTAGATGAAATAGTCTCAATAAAGCTTGCCCTTATCTCAAAGAAGAATGTAGGTTTTCTCTGTGGAACATTACCAGAAATTGTGTCCCAGTTCAGCTAAGAAACAAATGACAAAATATCTTTGTTAGGGATCAACAAAGGAGATTAAAAAAACCCTTCTGCATTTGGTTTAACAAAAGACAACTTTTCTCCATATAGGTAGTGTATTATTTAGTAAAAGTTGGACTTGGGAAGAATGGAAATGAACTATATATCTTTTTCCCCCTGAAGTTGCTCATTTTGGGTATGAGATATGAAACCTTCATTGTAATATTGTATATTTTATTTTTATATTTTCATAGTCTTCTAAAATATAATTAACAAGATGTTGCTAGAAGTCACAAAATAACTGACCACAAATCGAAAACCTATTCTTAAAATTAGAGTGAAATGTTCCAAAAACAAAAGTTAAGTTGCCATTGTATTTATGCAAAAAGTACACAAAATTGCATATAAAATGGAACAGAATTAAATAAAAATTCCCAACTCTTTTTGTTTATTTAGTTTCTTGTTTTAAACATATCTTAATAAAGTGAATATTTTGCAGGTTTCCTCTTCTTGTTTAACAAAAAAGTTCATATTCAACTTTTCCCACTTTTTAACCACTTTGAGATAAATTTCTTATTTTCCTTTTTTTGTTGTCTAATAATTTGCTTTGTGTTTTATATCTGACAACATTTTAGATATCTGATTATTAAATCATTGTGTATTTGTTATAGCAACAATGATCCACTCTTATTCAGCACATTTAACCGGAGTTGTTAGCTAGCTATTTTTCTTCCCATGTGTTGGAAGGTTCTGAACTCAAGATTCCACACTAATCAAGATCCTTCCGAGGCAGAAGGTCAAGCTGAGGGATGTAGCAGCTATTAGATCAAGATGATGGCCTAGATGAGAGTAATCTCCTGTTGGTACTGCTACTGTCCTCCTTACTTATGAGTATCTCTTCTTTTCCTTCTCCTGTCCATGGGACTATTGCAGGTTCCCAGGAGAAAAAGCCACTAGAGGTGGCATGTAACTTTGGAAGGAAGGACTGCTGGCCTGCTAACCACCCATTCTTTATTTTATTTTATTTTATTTTAAAAAAACTTTTGTAGGATGGATGCTCTCCCTGTCAGTGTTTACAGGAGCCCTTACAAATTTTGAATTGACAATCTGTCAGGCAACAATAAGCAGCCATCCAACCCCCGCAGCTGCAGCAGGGAGCAGCACATTTTGTTTTGCACTGTTTTGTTTTTTTCTGCTTTTCTGCTCTGGCTCTGAGTGAGCATGCGTAATGAAATCTCACTCTTTTTCAGAAAGTGACTCAGAATGGCTTCTTGTAAAACCTAATTATCATGTAAAATTGGCTAATCCAATGAGGGGGTCAGGATCAATTCCTATGTCAAAACCAACCAGATCAGCTCCAGAGTGAAGAAAGTAGTGTGAAAATTTATTACATTTTTACTTTCAACCTAATAGCAAAAAAGTGTTCACATCATGAATTTTTATAGAACAAAAAATTGTTCATTATTAAAGATAATTTGTCTGAAAGTCCGATTTGCTGTACAACTGGTGAGATGCACATTTTTAAGGTGTCCTCATCATATTTTAAGGTGCACAGGGGCCCTTGACTTACTCAGTGATCTGGTAAAGTGTGAAAACAGTGAAGTGGCAAAGTTTACAGACAATACAAAACTACTCATAGTTAAAGCCAAAGTTGACTATGAAGAGTTACAAAGGGATCTCTCAAACCTGGGTGACTGGGCAACAAAATGGCAGATAAAATTCAGTGTTGATAAGTGCAAAGTAATGCACACTGGAAAACATAAACCCAACTGTACATACACAATGACGGGGTCTAAATTAGCTGTTACTGCTCAAGAAAGAGATATTGTAGTTATCATGGAAACATCTGGTCAATGTGCAGTGCAGTCAAAAAAGCTACCAGAATGTTAGGAATCATTAGAAAAGGGATAGATAAGAGGATGGAAAATACCATAATGTCAGTATATAAATCCATGGTATGCCCCCACCTTGAATACTGGGTGAAGTTCTGGTCACCCCATCTCAAAAAAGATATATTAGAATAGGAAAAAGTACAGAGAAGGGCAACAAAAATGATGAGGGGTATGGAACAGCTTCTGTATGAGGCGAGAGTAAAAAGACTGGGACTGTTCAGCTTAGAAAGAGAGACGACTAAGGGGGTATGATAGAGAGCTATAAAATCATGACTGGTGTGGAGAAAGTGAATAAGGAAGTGTTATTTATTCCTTCATGTAACACAAGTTCCAGGCGTCACCCAATGAAACGTCTTGATATAATGTACAGTCAACCTGTGGAACTCATTGCCAGGAGATGTTGTGAAGGCCAAAAGTATACCTGGGTTCAAAAAAGAATTAGATAGGTTCATGGAGGATAGCTTGGCTATTAGCCAAGATGGTCAGGGACACAACCCCATGCTCTGGGTGTCCCTAAACCTCTGATTGCCAGTAGCTGGGACTGGACAGCAGTAGATGGATCACTTGATAATTGCCCGGTTGTGTTCATTCCTTCTGAAGTATCTAACACCAGGCACTGTCAGAGGACAGGATGCTGGGCTGAATGGACCCTGTATGGGTTCTGACTCAGTATGGCTGTTCTTATGTTAGTGCACACCATATAATATATTCTCAATGTATGTGGTTGTTATATATTCTTGAATGCAGATACCATGTGTAATACAATAGAATATAAAATGTGAAATTGTGAAAACTTAAATGCATTTAGCTTAGAATATGTTGCTATTTCAGAATAGTATTGTAGTGAATGTACATTATAAATTTGATAAGTATAACAGCAATGAACTGAAGATAAAACCTACAAATTCATGTAGCTGAATTTCCTGTGGTATTAATTTATGAATCATATAATTTGGAAGTGTTGTTTGCAAGCCAATTAGTATTAAGCCACAGGATCCTTTGAAGATTATCATACACAATTAAATTTAGAGAACAGCGTATCCATGGGAACAGATATTGCCTTAGAATGAGAATATGCAAATTATTTTCTGTTGTAAGGGCAAAATTCACCGCTCCTCCACAAAATCCAAGCAAGCAAAATCCAAGCGAAAATGTATGTGGCTGGTCAGATGGAATTCCACTCCCTGCAACATGCATGCAGGCCACTGGGTTTCAATTCAGCCCCTTCTCTAGCTGCTGGAATAACTAGCACAGCTCCTCTGCACAGGAGTACCCATCCGTGGGATCTGCATATGTAACTCCTGCATGCCATCCTAACTGGGACCTTTGTCGAACCCCCATTCACAGTGTGCAAGTGACTCAGAAGTCTCTCTGCATATCCACTCTGCCCTGTTCTTGTCTGTGCAAGGGCACTGCCCAGCAAATGGCGTAGCAGGCCAGGAATAGGATGAATTTCACCTAAATGGAATAAAGTTAATTCAATTCCAGATTTTTTCAGTAAGGCAAAACAATCCCACATGTTTATGCTACCATTTACATATTGACTTTTGGCAACCTACATTTTATTTTAATATTTATTTGCTATATAAAAATGCAATATTCTATTTAATGAAAGTATTATTCATGTTCAAATTTTAACCCTGTTGTTTTCTTTGTATTTTAGGGACACAGGTATTTAGCAGCAACAATGAATTTAGGATCAGCACACTGAAGTTTCACCTTTCTGAGCCTAATATTTTTATTTGTGGAGGATTCAGCCCAGAAGTTAAAGCCTGGGATATAAGGAATTGTAAGGTAACAGATGTCTGATTCATTCCTTGTTCGTCAGATTATTTTAACTTGTCTAATATAGATGCATTCTGCAGGGTAGCGAGTTGGGTAGCTAATCAAACTTTGTTTTGGAGGGGTATGGGATTATTGGAAAATAAGAGCATGTTTTTGTCACTCATTCTTGCTGTATGTTAAAAGGGAACAATAAGTCAGTGTTCGTACTCCGTCTTGAGCAAAATCATATGTTTAAAAAGCATTTCTTTAAAAGAGTCTTTTCTTGTTCTGAGAACTGTACAGTACAGTGGCTGTGTGAAGGCTGAACTGTCAGAAATTAATGAGTAATGCATTTTCACTAGTAACCATAGGGAAAGGCTGCCATCATAGCCTGTAATACCTATTCAGTTTTTTTTAGTTGTTTTGTTTTCTCTTGAGTTGTGAGATCATTTACAAAAATCTATATTCCTGTCAGTATCTTTGATGAAGTTCGTAACACTATTTTCTGTGTCATATTGTCATTCAAGTCACCTAGGATTTAGGATGTACCCGAAGTTGACATTTCTGTGCAGCATGAAAGGGATATAGTCCCTTGTGCCCATCTCTAGTGACTCTCCATTTGGAAGTTAAATGATACCTTTTTTATTCTCTTTGCAACACTGTTAGGGAAACTATGTATACAGTTAACCTGATATTTCTTACTTCTACCACTATAGATAGTGTACAACTGAATTAAGCAGGGTCACCAGCTTGTTTGAAGGTAAGGTGGTAGTAATTTTTGAACCAATGGAAATCGTTTTATATGTATAAATAAAAATATAATGTCTGTCACGGAGGTCACATAAGTCAAAACATTTATTTTAATTAACCACTGTAAATTACTAACAGATCAATAGTTGAGTTTTTCTGTCATTTGAAATTTATATTCTGATGTCTCTGTTGTGGGATTCAGGCAATATTTATGTTTTCACTGCCTACGTAACCAATGGGGCTCTTTTAACTCTTCCATACACTGACTCAAACTGTGAGACATCATCAAGTGGGTCAGGAGGTGTTCATGTGCACCTGGACCAATGCTTGTTCTCATTTGAATTCCACCTTACAACCCAAGAGTGCTCAAGAGCCTTGCAGTATGAGCTTTTCCTTGGAGGCTGAGAATATTCCCACTGTGATGTTTCTAAGTACAAGTTCTGAAGTCCTTTGGTCTCACTTAATGTCTGATTTCCTAACAGGCAGCACATTTTACAGCCCACAGTACAGGATACCATGAAGTTCACAATAGCTGAATGATGTATTTCTGTGTCATTAGCTGACCATATTTTTTTTTCACCAGTACTGGAGTTTCATGTTTAGAAGCTATTTTAAGTAACGTGTTGAACAATGAAGAACTAAGAATTAGTACTCTTCATAGACTGATCCCGAGGCAAACCATAATAATTGTGAGAGATTTTGTGCACACCTTTTTTTAGTAGTCTGGCTGTAATTAAGAGATAATATTACTCTCCCACCATGTTAACAGGCAGTAATCCAGTTCCCAGAAATCATTAGTTTATTGTAAAAAGGGAAATTAACTGTTGTAAAGCATTTTAAAAATTGGCATTCAGGTTTTAGGCTCAGAGGCACACCAGGACAAAGGAACTTGTCTACACCTGCTCCTAACAAGCACTGTTTTCAGATATGTTTATCTGCTTTGTTCTCTGAGACTTCATTAGATATGTGTGGAAGTTCTTCAGTCTGGAAGGCACCTGAATAAGCAATTTGTTAAAAATATCTAATTTTAACTTGGAACATGCAGCAGATAATCAGTGTTGAAAGTGTAAGGAGTGGCGTGGGTCAGAAATGGATATTGAGCTTCTTGTTGGAATGTTTGTTTTAAAACCTAAGCTTTATGTTTATTGTCATTGATTAAAAAACAGCAATCTGTAGTTTACAGTCCTATTCGTGCAACGGTCCCAAAGTGGACCGTCATAGTTTCTTCTCTTTCCTATTGATTTTTAAATGTAGTGCTTTGAATTAGGGAAGAATGTATGTACTGGGTGATGTCTTGATTAATCACAACTGAACGGTGCCATGAGCAGTCTGAGAGAGGAAAAATCAGGGACGAGCTCTGTGTTTTTGATTGACAATGAGTAGGGCTCCATGTCGGTCACGGAGGTCACGGAAGTCATGGATTCCGTGACTTTCCACAACCTCCGTAACTTCTGCAGTGGCCAGTGTGGCTGACCCCAGGGCCGCCCAAGCAGCTGGCCCCAGGGACAGCCACACTGGCCGCTGCTGGAGCGTCTCTGCAGCCAGCTGCTTGGGCGGCTCCACAGCCAGCCACACCAGTGCTGCTGAAGTGGCCCCAGGGCCAGCTGCACCGGCCAGTGCTTGAGGGCTTCGGGCAGCTGGCCCTGGGGACCGCCTGAGCAGTGACTGGTGCGGCTGGCTCCAAGGACCGCCTGAGCAACGATGAATGGGTGGGAGCAATGGTGGATGGGTGGCCCTGGGGGTGGCCGGAGTAGCCACTGTTTGGTTGCCCCCCCCCACAGCAGTGCCCCCCCAGAGCAGCACACCCTCCCAGCCCCCAGCTAAGATTTAGTCAGGGGTATTTAGTACAAGTCATGGACAGGTCACAGGCTGTCCGTGACCTGTCCATGACTTTTACTAAAGAACCCATGACTAAATCGTAGCCTTAACTATGAGCTTCCACTTGTAGCATAATATCTAATGTCTAATAAATACAAATATAAGCATCATTGTTGCAAAGCCTCCAGTTACTTTTCAAAGTGCCAGTTTGCCATAAAACAGTCTGTTGATTAAACATGAATTATTAATATTTAATAAATCCTGCCCCATAACATTTGATATTTCAATACAGATTCCTTTTCACATATATTAGCTTCTTTATTATTCATGTGAGACAGTAAGCATACTCTCATTTTCTTTTCTGTCTTGTACTCTTATGATCTTATTCAAGATTGGATAAAGTGTCCTGCCCGGTATTTCACTTTTTGTTCTATTATAATATGTTCCATTTTGTCTTAATTAAAATAGGTGGCTGGAACCTCTTCCCACCTAGTTACAATTGTGATGCAAAGGTCCTGCAAATCTGTACAGAGTTTTCATTTTCATTCATTATAAGATCTTTCCATGGTATTCTTGGTCTTACAAATTTGCTGCAGCTTTGGTCCTATTTTGTCTCAAATTGTATCTTCAGGTATTTCAAATTGTCATTCAGCTTCAAGGAGCAGCTGATGGCTGTGTGGATGAAGAAATGATTTTTTTTTTTAACGTTTCCTTCATTACATCCCTGATAGCCTTTCCAAGAAGAAATCTTTTGTCAACCTAGCCACTGCCTCTCAGAAAGGTAGTTTTACTACAGTGACAGAAAAACCTCTTCTGTTGTTGTAAGTGTCTACACTACAGCGATACAGCAATGTAACTACAGCTGTGCCACTGTAGTATTTGTAGTCTAGAATACCCATATTATACATTGGAAGCTCAGTTTTAGTGGTCATTCTTCAGAGCATACTGTTTGTGTTTAATGTGCTGGCTTTTCCATTTATTTGCACATCTTAAACTTACATTTCCTGGGCCAAATAGCCATCATATTTTGAATGTTCTTAACACAACCTGAAATTTATCTGACTCCTGCACCTGGAATTTTGTGTTGAGCTCTGGGAACATATTACAGGAAGAATACTGACACAGTGGAGGGTGTACAGAGAAGAGCAATTTATGAGGAAAATATTAGCTAAATAGGTGTATAATACATATGACAAAGGGATTGCCCTTTGTGAGAATAGCTTTAAAGATGATTTATTATTAATTAATTGTCCAAGAATTAAAATTCGTCTTTTGGTATATATTAAGTTTTAGAAGTAGTAATATATAATGACAGGTTTGTTGCAGTCTTTCACACACTGAAACCTGGAGCAATAGATATCAAGCTGGCTAACTAGAAACAAAAATGTCAAATCTACGCTATATCAAAAAAAATATGAAACACTGAAGGACAGATTTTGCTGCTCTTGTGTATGTTGAGTAGTACCTTTCTCCACAAGGCATCTTATTGATTTTGAGTGTAGGGTAAGGTACTACTCAACATGAGTAAGGCTGGCAAAATCTGGCCTTTAGTTAATATGTTTTAAAGGCAACATAAAGTGAAAATCTTCAAAGTAGAGCCAACCAGTGTTTCATAGAGAACTGCATGACTGCAGGCAGCAGCTTGTTTACTGCTTCATTAATGGTAAAGTATACACACACACACACCTCAGAAGTGCACAGGCTAGTTATCCAAGCTCATATAGTGAAGAAAGAACAAAGAGGTACTGATGCAGAAGTTAGAGAGTTAGTATACAGCTATTTCATTCTGCTGGTGTTGAACCAAGCTTTGTCTATGAAGAACCGATTTTTCAAATTACTGTATAAATTGTATAATGGGCTGATTAAATAAGGCTATGAAACCATCGGAGAACTTATAAAGACTTCACACGGAGACTAGAACATTTCAAAATTAATTTTTTAAAATGAGCTGCCACGTCAGAAGGAACACAGAGCTGTGTTTTGTCAGCCAAGAAGACTACACCACACTGAACGAAAGGGCCCGTCATGAAGTTTTCTGTTCACTTCTGGGATGCCTCCTTGTGGCTCTGTCTGGGGAATAGCTCTGCCTGGTCTGACACCCCTTTCTGTCTCTCTCTCACAGTGAGACTCATCTCACGCTCCAGGAGTGGCAGTGCCTTCTCTTCCTGACTCAGGAATGAGACACTCCCTCTTTATTGCTTGGCCCTCCAGCCAGGTCACTATAGTTTTTCCCTTCCTGGGGTATCAGAGTCTCTCTGTTCAAACTGTCTCAGGAAGTCTTCCAGTTCACTGCCTAGATTGCACCACTTCCCCAATGGCAAGTAGGGGAACCCAGGCCTGCCCATTATTCCCGGTTCCAGCTCAGGACCCTCAAATCAGCAGCCAAGGTCTGCACTGTCTCAAACCTTGCTGCTGTTTCTCTGAGCCTTTTCCTACCCCACCTCTCTCAAGCTTGCTTCTCC